ATTCTTTGTATAAATTGTTTCATTATATAAAATATAAGTTGCACAATATATATATATATATATATATATATATATATATATATATATATATATATATTTTACCCACAATTTGTATATATATATATATATATATATATATATATATATATAAATATACATACATATATATATATATATATATATATATATATATATAAACTGCACAATGTATATATATATATATATATATATATAAACTGCACATATATATATATATATATATATATATATATATAATATAAACACATATATATATATATATATATATATATATATATATATATATATATATATATATATATATATATCAGTGGCAACTCGAGCTTGTTGGGTTTTGCCCAAGTGAGTCAACATTCAAGTATATCTATTTCAAAGCAACCAAAAAATTTCCTAGTGCATTGATTTCATACTTGCCTTCAGCTGGATTCAAAATTAATTGTTTTAACTCCGTCCTCAAAATATTGACCGAAATACATTTCGTTGATATTGTTCATAATAAAGAAGAAAGAAAGAAAAATACAAAGAAAGTAAGTAAAAAAATGAAATAAAATTAATGTGGCTAGTCGTACTGAGTCGGTGTCAGCCTGGTCGAAGCTGGAGACATTCTTAATAAGCAATATATTTCTTCCTTCAATTTTATTAAAAATTTCAAAATCTCTAATGACTTGTATGCACTGTTTTTCAAAGAAAACATTTTTATTTCAATTTATTTATTTCAGATATCCATTTTAACTAATAGTATAAGTTTTTAGGACAATGTATCAATTGAAATAGGATAAATTAAATTTACCCCAACTAAAAGTCGGCGAAAATAAAATAAATTTTGCAACTCGTCGACTGGATAGTTCACGTGTATAACTGGGTTAGTATTGAAAATATACCAGTCAGCAGCCACGATTACTGACTCAATAACGTACAATAAATTAAAAATTCACTGACAGAGAAATACATAAACGCTCTAACGCATAGACATATATACACACACACATTCGGGATAGATACACACGTTATTTAAAAACATATCTGTCTAGAGATTTTTATAAAAAAATATGTATTTTAGTTAGCGTAAAGGAATAACTTGCATCTAAGTTAAACCAATAGTATGTTTTTAGAGATTATAATGAGCCCGACAAACATTGATGAGCGGCTGTTGTATTATGGTACACTTAGTCATCCATATGTTGTGTCTACACACATTTATACTTTGGTCAGCCTATGAACTTTTCAGACGACCCTTGTACAAAAGTTCTATTTCCGATTTTAAGCACTCTTCACGGAATATTATAGCAAGTTTTAAAAACTATATATATATATATATATATATATATGTGTGTGTGTGTGTGTGTGTGTGTGTGTGTGTGTGTGGACTACACTCGCGCATCATGCTACTATTGAAGACGTAATCTTGAAGCTAATTTTAAGGGGGTCGCATCATACACGAGATATAAAATTAGCGTATGTAATAATAGCTCTGGCTACCTCACTGACCAAGTTATATATCCGTTTACTGTAGTCAAATCAGCTTCAAAAGTACATCTTCAAAAGTCGCATGATATGCGAGTGCATGAGGTATATATATATATATATATATATATATATATATATATATATATATATAAATTCTGATTGAATGTGTAGATATAAGACGAATGGAAATAAATTCGAGAGAAATATTTTTTTTATGCTGTTTCTTATATATCTCGATTTTCTTTCATCATCGGCCTATTATATCCACACACGCACACACACACACACACACACACATACACAAAGACGCACACACACACGCGCGCACGCACACACACACACACACATATATATATATGAGCGAACACACGCATATCTATATATTAGGTTTGCCCTTCTAAAATGAAATGATCCTAAATAAGGAAAGACGATCTCCATATTTTAAATATATATTTTTCTTTTGTAAAATTTTCGAACCGATTAAGTCCTATTCAACTATCTAAATTGAAGACATTAATAATGCAACTCCTGGACTTTCCCTTTTATCTCAAAGCTTAATCTACATGCAAGACTAGAATTTGATTTATATTCAAACTCCCATTGGACGCAGCCCAATTTCTTGAGTACACCGCCAAGTTGAAGCTCCTACTTAGAAACTTTCAAGGCCAATATGCGTGTCCATTTATCGCAATCAATTAAAAGGCTAAAATTATAAAACTAGATATTACACATCATGAATATTTTCCATTAATTGTCCGCATAGTAATGGACAAAATCATTTAGCAAACAGATTAAGAGTACACGTGTCACCTTCACAGTTTTCCTATCTGAAATTTCTAATGAATCATAATTCATAATTCAGTGTTTGAATAAACTACTTACGGGTTCTATATTTATAAATATCCTAAAAAATTCCCTGTATTGCATCCTTAAATATTGGCGCTTAACAACTTCAGAACATATTACAAATGGAGCGGAAATGAATGAGAAATAAATATTGGATCTTAGCGACTTAAGAACATATTGCAATAACAATCATAAATAGGAATGCAGATTTTTATTTAAAGAAGTAAGATGGTACAAATGAATATGTTTGAATAGATACGATGTAAACAAACACTCGTTTCCGCTGTTGTGATGCCAACGAATACACATTGTCACATTCGTAATAGTCGTTGTAGTAGAGATTTTGTAATCGCAGATACAACTATAGTAACGCCTTTGAACAATAATGGTGTCAGACGCCTTCGAATATCACTTACACTAATAGTGCTTGCTCGATAATACTTGTTCGAATAGTAATCCGTATAGCGATCCGAATATAGAAATATTATATGAATAGAGTAGAGAATAACGGTACGTATAGTAATGGAGGATAGAGTAGAAATGAAGATCGGAATAGTAATAGAAGATAGACTAAAAATAGCGATCGTATAGTAATAGAGGATTGACTCGAAATGGAGATCATTAGTCGTCACGCGACTTCCTACTCTATGGTCACGTGGTCTACTTAATTCAATAATGGGATTGCCTGTGTTTGCTCACAGGGGATCTATTTTCAAACTCAGTTGTCGGCAGCGATACCTTATTCCTATAGAACACGTTTCTCTTTTCTTTCACTGAAACGAAACAGTGTTTATACTTCTTTTTTGTCTTTGCTTGTGATCAACTAAATATTCCATTATTTATGAGTTATTGTAAGACGTATCGTACGTAAGCACCGAACGGAATAGAACAAGCAGAATCATATGATATGTGACGGTCGAAGATAGTGAGAAAGGTAGATTTTAGTTGCCTCGCTGTTACTCAATCCTCAGAGATGGCAAACTGGCATTATGTGTAAACGCGCAATAGTACGAATAATAATAATAACAATACTAACTAGAAAAACGCGTGAAATATCCCAGTTTTATTATCTGAATTTTCTGATGAATCGTAATTTGTAATTTAATGATTGAATAAGCTCATGGCGAGTTCTACAGCTATAAAATACATATGTAAAATCCCGTCATCATCATCCTGCGGCCTCAGCCGAGATTGAACTCACTACACCTCTCCAGTATTCCCTATCCGTCATAGCTCCTAAAAGATCTTCCTTAGGGATCAATGTGTCACGTTTTATCCTATCTGGAAAGGTTAACTTGCGTGATCGATTGACAGATGATGGGTGCCTCCAGAGTACAAATGATGACACAAGTTCATCTGTGGCACGTGCACAATGCCCGGCGAACTGGACACGTCTCTTACAAACTAAAGTTGATACTCTTGGCAAGTCACCATATATCATTTCTAGAGTTGGGTGGTTTCGCCATGAGAGATTAAGCACTCTTCTTAAAAGACGTGTATAACATCCATCTAAACGGCGCTGTTGTTTTGCTGAGAGAGTCCAAGTTTCAGAGACATAGAGTAAGATTGGTTCAATAAGTACGCGGAAAAGTTGGATTTTGAATTGACGAGCAAGATTGGATTTCCAGATCTTATCCATTTTGTTACAGGCAGTCCATGATATGCCTTTTCTAATGTTGAAATCTTTCTCAGAGTTCTTGATGTGTGATCCTAGATACTTGTAGTCTTCGACACATTTGAGGATGTTGTATGAGAGTGTTTTGATCTCACAATTGTTGGGAATGTTAATTGGCATACATTCAGTTTTGGTTTCATTTACGTGAAGACCTGCACAGTTAGCTGCTGATTCAAGAGAAGAAAGGAGGGCTTGGGCACTAAAGAGGTTGTCAGACAACAGTGCAAAGTCATCAGCAAAATCAGCATCGGTGATGTAGAGTGCAGGATGACGTGAGCTTCTTCTAGGCTGATACATCAGTCCATTTTCTTTGATTGTGTCCACTGATATACGCATGATGTAGTCTATTACAATGATGAAAAGTAAAGGTGCTAGTGTGTCACCTTGGAGAATGCCAGCCAGAATATCGAAAGGTTCTGTTTCACCATCTGGGTTCAGGACAGTGGCCTGTGTGTTGGTATACAATACTTTGATTGCTTCAATCCCGTATTACATCCTGAAATATATGAGTTTAACATTAACAAATAGCAATAATAACAATCAGAAGTATGAGAGCAGGGGGGGGCACATCGACGTGGTGTAATTGTTAACAAGCTTGTCTCGTTAGGACAATTACGACTGGGCAGTGAGTTCGATCCTCACTGGGTTTCTCATACTTTTGACCGTGTGCTACATCTAAGCTATGCTTAGAAAATCAGCATACATATGAATACCAGAGAAACAAAATGAAAAGACTCAAAATTGACACAGTTTTTCCTTTTCCAAATGGGCAGGCATTAATCGAAATGAAAACTTTATCACTTCCTCCATCTTTTACATTCATTCATTCTGTTTTGCTTTCTATCGAATTATATATGCTTTCTATTTCTTACTAAAATAAAACACTGCCTGTGAACGGCCTACGAGGAGTAAAAAAGAACGAGAAGACGCAACGGACTACGAGGAGTAAAAGAGAACGAGATGACGCAACTGACTACGAGGAGTAAAAGAGAACGAGAAGACGCAACGGACTACGAGGAGTAAAAAAGAACGAAAAGACGCAACGGACTACGAGGAGTAAAAGAGAACGAGATGACACAACGGACTACGAGGAGTAAAAGAGAACGAGATGACGCAACGGACTACGAGGAGTAAAAGAGAACGAGATGACGCAACGGACTACGAGGAGTAAAAGAGAACGAGATGACGCAACGGACTACGAGGAGTAAAAGAGAACGAGATGTCGCAACGGACTACGAGGAGTAAAAGAGAACGAGAAGACGCAACGGACTACGAAGAGTAAAAGAGAACGAGAAGACGCAACGGACTACGAGGAGTAAAAGAGAAGGAAAAGACGCAATGGACTACGAAGAGTAAAAGAGAACGAGAAGACGCAACGGACTACGAGGAGTAAAAGAGAACGAGAAGACGCAACGGACTACGAGGAGTAAAAGAGAACGAGAAGACGCAACGGACTACGAGGAGTAAAAGAGAACGAGAAGAATTTAAATGCAGCAAGAACCACAATTCTAAGCAGGAAACAAGTGATAAACCTTTACTCCTGTTCAAAAAAGAAGGAGTGTTAACCGGGCGATAGGCGAAACTATCAACTCTTATGACTAAATATTTTCAATCGTATTTTTCTTTGTGAAGTTTCAAAATCAATATCCAACGCAATATTCAATTTTTAATTTAATTGTGCCTATATTCATTAATATCCCCTGTTTGTAATACAAATTTCGACTCCTGCTTACACCATCAAGCAGTAAAACATAACTCGTATGAAGATCTCATGGCCAGATAACAGCCAACACCTGGTTCCAATAACATCCAAGACTAATATGGACATGACAAATTCCAGTAGGACAGACGAAAAAACCAAATCGACTACATAACTATCTACAAGAGATTTAAGAATGCAATTGTGCAAAACCTAACCAAGTGCCGACGGGGGTCTTAAGCAGATTTATTTCATAGGACTGCCTAAGAAAGCAGGCGCAAACGAATGTCAACTCCGTCGGATAATCAGAATAATGAGTCACATAAAAAAACTCTTCATCCAAATGAATCAGCCTGAATATAGGACAAGAACAGTGCGGGTTCGTCAAAGACGCCAGAACAATGAACGATATTTATGCTCAGTATGTTATCAGAAACTGTACCTGTGCTTATATATTACGCAAAGGCGTTCGATAAAATATGCCACAAAGCTATATTGGAGCTTCTCGGCAACCTTGAAATATTCGAGAAGAATATTAATAAAGGGTGTTTCATTAAGACGGATCAAAGTCAGAAGTAAATAAATCATTTATTTCTTTCTCTATTGGATCATATTATTTAAGTCATGGCAAGTATGTGTGAAAAATAATATCGCCCAAATGTCCGCTAAATCTGAAAGAAAAAACATCATTAGACTCTTAAAATTAATTCACATTTAAAATCGGTCCAATTTATTGGAACGCCCTTTAGAATCTATAATCTGCCTATACTGGCAGCAAACCGGCTGCATACGGATAGAAAATGAGTTCAGCAGAATAGCAAGGGGTGTAAGGCAAGACTTATTTAACCTATACAATGAAGCAATTCTGAGAGAATTATAAATCATACCAAGATTCATTATTGGCGGCCACAATCTTAATAACATGCGATATGCTGATGACGCAGTGTTGATAGCAGACATGGGAAGGAAACTAAAAAAGCGTCTACAGAAGGCAGAGAAGGAAAGCCAGAAGAAAGGATTAAATATAAACTACAAGAAGAGAGAATATATGGTTGTCGGCAAAAGGATGAACACAAAAGGACAATTACAAATCAGGGGTACTAAAATCAAACAAGTACAAAAATTTAAATATATGGGTAGTGTTTTTACAGAGGACGAAATGTGCGACACTGATGCGCATTGGGATGTTCAAAGATGCATTCGAAAAGCTAAGCAGAGTATTAAGAGACTTAAAACTTCGTTAGAAACGAAGAAAATAATATTGAACTGTTATATGATAACTGTGATATATGGCAGTGAATGTTGGACAATCTCGTAATAAAGTGTGTTCTAATAACTTGAGACGATTTTAATGTGAATTAAGTTTAAGTGACTAATGAGTTTTTTTGTTTTTCTTTCAGATTTGGCAAACATTATTATTTTTCACACTTAATTGCCTTGAATTAAATAACATGATCCAATATAGAAATAAATATATTTTCGCCAATAACACTGATTTATTTACTGCTGATTTTGATCCGTCTTAATGAAACACCCTTATATATAATCCCTCTTAATGAAGCACCCTTTACTTGATGGGATTGAGTAAATGGATGTTATAATAGGGTTTGGGAGAAATAACAAAAGGACAATTCTAACGAGCTACAATAAAGATATGGTGGACCATGATCGGCTATGTTCGGAGGAGACGCGGTAAATAAAAGAAGAAAAAGATGTCTTGAACTCCAGTCTTCTTCGATGGGTATGTTTCATTTCTTCACGAAGCCTCTGGAAATACCGAGGTGGCACAATTTGTTTTACTTATTTAAAAAAAAAATAAAATAAAAATAAAATAAAACTATTTTCACCTCTGAGACTCGAAAAATATATAAAGAAGGAAGAGTGGAAAAACAGATTTATTTATTTTACAGATTTTTTTTTTTTACTGCATTTGTGGGTAAGTAGAAATAAAACCACCAAATTTAGAGAAAAAGAAGGTGAGCAAATATATGAAAGAGAGAGAGAGAGCACATTCTCGCTCAGGTTCGGTTAAAGGAAGAGGGAGGAAGAGGGGGAAACGAAAAAGATCAACGCGACAAAACGTGTGATAAATAAAGGAAACAAATATTAAAAAATAATGGAGTTAAAGAGTTTGGAATTTAAAACCTTTGATTTGAAAGAAAAACGAGAGAATGCCGAGAATAAAATTCAAAAACATTAATAAAAAAAAAATGGAAGAATCAATAAAGAATAAAAACGATATGCGAATTTAGCTACGGAAGAAGAAAAAGAGCCAAGATTACTGAAAATAACATCATTGAGAGAAAAACAACAAAAAAGAAACTAAAGCAAACGATAATAATGTAAATCTTTAAAAAAAGTAAGCGAAAAAAAAAAGAAAGAAAGAATAACTATGAACGAACTGAGAAAGAAGAAAAAATAGAGATTGAAAGAGAATAAGAAAGAAAAAGAGGCACAATAATATCTGAAAGAAAACAACAGAAATAAAATATGAAGAGGCTAATTATTTTGCCTTCAATCAAGTTGTCTTTAAAATTTTTCGTAAATAAACAAAAAATATCCCTAATCTAAATAAATTGCATTTTTAACACCTGGAAATTCCTAATTACGCAATAATCTGATTAAAAAACAATTAACAAATATGGAATAAAAAATCAAGTGAATACAAAATTCCACTAATTTTCAAGTCCCAAAGGATTGATCACGTGGCCTGAAATTGTTTGCTAAGGGAGATAATTGATTTTTAAAAGTCGACCTTCTGAGATGTCCCCCCCCCTTAATAATCAGGCAGTTTAGATTGAAAAGGTTTTAAAACTGTGTAAAGCCTCATAATCTAAAGAGATAGAGAGCGATTTGTCACTTAGGAACGAAAAAGTTAATATTTTTACCAAATTAGGTTGCTATGCTAATCCTAAAATGACATGGATTAAAGATGGAGATTAAACTTATCTAGTTCCATAGTATTACTTTCCTAATATTCCTTCATCTCAAAAACTATATCCCAAGTTTGATCTAGGTTTTAAAAGCGCCAAATTAGGCACCAGGAAGCAGGGTCAGTGCGTACTAACTCCAATCCACCCTACGCCTGATTGGGGGTGGGGAAGGGGGCGGAGAGTGCTTTTTGAACAATGGAGGGAGAAAGAGTTACTATCTTATCAACATTTGCTTTTTCTACCTATATTTATATGCGTTTTAAATAAAGCTGAGCACGACTGACTAGTGTAGTATGAAAGATTTGACGTCTTTCTGAGTTCCTTTAATTTTTGTTGTTCAATTCAGTGAATTTGATTTGATCATACTTAGTCACTTAAAGCATTTTATAAAATTCACTATTTTTATCCATAATGTTGAATGTGTTGAAGGTTCTTTTTAACAAGGAAAATCTCAAGTCGATATTTAAACATTGCTTAATTATTTAAGAAATGTAATGATCTATTATGACATGTCTCTAATTGTTATTTAGATACATTGTATTTATTTTCTATTTTTCTAGTTGAATTGTTCACCTATGCATATGATCCATTATTGTACATAATTAGGTTACAATAAAATTTGTATTTTATATGAATACTACCTTGTGGAAATTGAGATGTAGTAAAGTGGGGGCCCGTATCATAAATTAGGTGGGGACCCACGATACCCTTGTTCAATCTGTAGAAGGCCTAAGATCCACTCAAAGTAGAGGGTTACAGAGTAAGAGGCAGAATTTATTGAGATATATAGGGAAGATAACGGTTAACCCTAGAGATGAACATGTTATCACTGTAGTAAAGGATGGAGCATCCTCTTGGGATTTGGTTCCAAAAAGCAATGGCACGTGGGAAGAAGCAACTCGAGTGGAATCAAAAGAAAAATGCAGGGGTCGCTACAATGTGCGTGGCATGATGGCTATTACTTGTGAAGGTTAGGACTGGTGGAACAAGAGAATATAGTTCATGTGAACATTTTCCATGGAAATAGCGTTTGTTCAGCTAGAGGCTTGCAACTTTTCACCTGTGAGAAGGAGGTTGCAGGGTGGAAAATATTTCATTACCCACAAGGATGCGAAGACGCTTTTGGATACTATCAAAACTGGAAAAGTGAAGACTGGTTAGCTCCTGCCCATATATAGCAACAGTCCTCCATTTTCGGCCTGATCTGTCTCTTGTAAAGGTAGAGAATATCAGAAGGTGTCAGATAATTACTGTAGCGATCATTTTGCCCGTATCTTTAGCGATCGTATATACGGGTACATCTTGGGGTCTGGGACTTACCAGTATGGTACGTTATAATGTATGCATGTGCAAAGTAAAAAAATATCCAATTTTGTGTTTCTTTAAAGCGAGATAAGCACTCTGCATTTGCTTGTTCTCAATTGGAATTATAAAACATTATAAAATAGGACTAGAACCTTTGCTACAAATTTTCTGCAATAAAGACGATCCTGGCATAGGCGCTAAAATTTAGACTGTGAACATACGTTCAATGTCATAAAATATTTAAAATCACGTGATACCAGAGGTGAGTGCAGTAGAAATAGACACATCACGTGATTTGAAATAATGACTTTTTGAGCCAATCACAAATAAGATATAAAAACAATGATTCCTTAAGGTTTTGGGATCACTCAAAAGATTATATAAACAACGTTCAACTGACTACAGGCTCCTCTCGTGACCAAGACACTGCGGATAGAACATTCTACAATCTTACTTCAAAAATACTTAAATTGAACATCATATTTTTTTTCTCTCAGAAAAATTCGCATGCCATATTCAACAAACACTCAGCAGTCACTTAAATTTGATTTGTATAAACCAGGTGAGGGCAAGCCTGATAGTGGGCCTCTGGCAGGATTTTGTAACCATCGTTATCTTATTACCATTTGCTTATTTTCTATCTTCATTTATATAGGTTACAAATAAAACTAAACGAAAACCGATAAGAAAGGCAATGAAGTCATTAAGAAGTTATTGAGTGTTATAGAACATGAGAAAAAAAAACACTATTAAGAAGAGAAAATTTCAAAAAAATCATTTTTTAATAATTTTACCCTAAGCAAGGCAATAAAGCCACTAAGAGGTAAGATGTTTCTGAGTGTGAAGAATATCAGAAAAAGAAAAAGAAAATCATTAAGAAGAATAAAGAACACCAATTAAGAAGACAGAAGATAACGTTTGACGTTGCATTTAAATATTTGAACATAAAAATTGGCTGGAAAGCAAAAAGCTGGAAGAGAGTTCCCGAAGCGAGATGTTCGATAGAAGAAACTTTTAGCATAGAAATTACGGTTTTATCTAGCAATTTCAACTATAAAATGATGGGAAAATTACGGTTTTATATTCTAGTCAATTTCAACTATAACTAAAAAGTAGTTATAGAAATACTATATTACGACGGAGGAAAGTGACATAAGCCGATACGACAGGTCAGGACCAATAACATTGCAGATTTTTTCTTTGTATTTTATAAAGAATCTCTAAATATTTAGCAGGAGCACCAGACTATTGAGTACTGTAGCAATATTCAAAGCAAGTACAAATGGCAGACTTATAGATATGTAAGATAGATTCTGGTATGAAAAGTTGTTTCGCACAACACAGTGAAACAACTTTCCTATCAGCATACTTAAGAATTGATTCAATATAATCTTTCCACTTCCTGTCAGCGGAAAATATTAGCCGAAGAAAGCGCAACGAGTCATCGTACTGGAAATTAGCATCAGCCATATGCTGATGGAAGATAAAAAAGTGTTTTTTCAAACGATTAAAAGAAAGTAGTTTCGTATTTAAATGAAGGAAAGTTAAAAATATGGCGTCGAGCAGGAAATGTATAGAAATATTTACAAATAAGAGAATGAAAGAGAGGAAATTCCTATCAATTATTAAGAATTTATAATTTAAGAAAGAAAAATATGCAGAGAGAGAACGAAAATTTAAAATTAACCCCACTCATGAAAACTAAAAAAAAGAAGAAAAATCAGTAAGGCGAAGGAAATTAAAATAGAAAAAAAATAAAAGTAGCCAGAAAAGAAAAAAAAAACGGGGAAAACCAGTAAAGATATTTGACTAAAAGTAAGACTAAATTACAAGATATTCATTCGCCTTATCTGCCATTGGGCAGCTAAAATTTACAAGCAAGAATCGTGAGAATTACCAATTGCTCTACAGGAGGTGCCTTTAAATGAATCTTCATAATACAGAAGAAATAATGCCTTAACAAAAAACAAAAAAAAAGTCACACAATCGGAAAGAAAGATAAAAGAGAAGAAGAAGGTAAAGCCAAAGAAGTAGTGCAAAACATATGGAGCAACAATCAAATCATTCCTTATTTTATTCCCCAATTTTTTTTCCATTTAAACTGAAGGCAATAAATCTCGAAGATTGTGAGGGTTGCGGAAATTTTTTGGACGATTTCCATAGAAGACTCGAAACCGGACAGGGTGGCGATCGGGGAGTTCGGTAACAGAACTGGGTAGAAAGCGTAGTGTGAAGGAGTTAGGGAGTTGTTTCTGGAATAAAAGGCTATCGGCGTTATCATCAAATTTGCATACTTGGGCTGAGAGAAGGTGTTATAGCCGGGGGATTAGCAAAGAGGCCGACACTGGTAGTGGCCTTACTCTCCGGCAATGAAATATATGGCGCTCAGACAAGCGAACACATCTACATACAGGCACATAGAGTAAGAAATAAAACGGGCACATCCGCACTTGTGTGAGATGCTAGTATTTGCAAGTGTAGATGAACGGTTAGAGGAGAGGGCTTCACGATTATTTATTATGTCTTATTTGGTTCTTTATTACAATATATTCAAATCTGGAAAAAAAAGATTACAAATACGTCGTTCTATCGAGTTCAAGTATATTTATGATTTGTAGATAATAGATACGTCCATTTTGAAATTACGAATGAATACTTTAATATCAAGCTTTAATACATACCAGTTTTCCTGCTTCACCAAATCCCTTCATGTATATTTCCTTGATATGACTTGTTCATTTTTTTACAAGCTATCAGTTTGCTTTCTTTTTCTGATCGCCGAACAGAAAGATGATAAAAGAATTAAAGTGACTAAAGAATAAGTAAAATATTTGTCAGATCTGAATTTCTTTAAATTTTGCAAATTATTATTTTGGTAAATAGTTATTTAATCGAGAGATGGTCATCAGCAAAAGAGACACCTGAAGGTGTGAACTACGTATTGGGAACGTCAGTAGATTCAGATATTTTCTGGGTAGTTTAGCATCAAATGACGAAATAGAAACAGTGGAAGATGCCGTTAAGAAACTGAGTAAAGTAAAGAGATAGAAACGTGTATTTAGAAAAAAAAGTGTCCTTAAAAGTAGAATGATATTGAACTGCTATGGAATAATATATATATATATATTATATATATATATATATATATATATATAAAAATCTCGTGCATGGCTTTGAATGCCGAAAATCTCATCAACAAAGAAGAAACTTTCCACAACAGAGAATT